GTAGGTCGAAGACGAGCAATTTTTGATAACGCCAGCCTTATACGCTTCCAAGCCCAGGATTATGATACAAGAGAAGAGACAAATAAACTGCAATGAATCTGGCTACGTGATCCATTTGCCGACCGTTTCCCCAAACCAGCTGACGGCCTTCTCCCGACGCTTTGCCCTCGCTTCGTCCTGGGCCTTGACATACGGGGCCGTTGCCTCCACATACCCTCGTTCCGACTCCAACTCTGCAAAGTGACTTTTGAGTTCGAGCTCTCGCTCGTGGGGAGTGAGCTGCTCCCAGGGTTTCGTTGGATGGTAGCCTGCTGGAACCGCCTGTCCTCCCGGAATCTCCACGGTCGTCGACCCTTTCTCGGTGTGCTTGACTGTCTCCGCTCCCGGATTGAAAAGGGAAGTGAGAGGCGGCGGCTCTACACCAGCAGTCTCAGCTTCCTTGACTCGGTTCTCGTAATCAAGCATCTGGTGGTAGAGTTTGTCGGCGTGCATCTGGATTCGTTCCTCCCTCTCCTCGTCCCAATCCGGTGAAGCAGCGTACCCTAGTGCTTGGAGGAATTTCTGCAGGAGTTAGCTAGAGCCAAAACTCAACAAACTCCTAGAAGGACAAGAGCTCACAGCTTGAGTAGCATAGCAGCGATTGAATATCTTATTCTCTTCTTGACCCATCAGCGACCGTGACTTCATCCGCTCCCAAAATGTACCCTTCTCAAAACAGCGGTACGCATTTTCTTGCTCCACCGCGCAGTTCTCGGACGCTACCCTTCCTATCGTATCGCGACGTTGTTTGCGCCGATCGTTCATCTGCTGGACCCCCTGCGCAGCCGATAGATTGTGTTCTTTGCTTCCAACGACCGGGGCATCGTCGACTGGCGGCTTGTAGGTTTTCCATAGATCGGCGTAACGGCCATCGGGATATAGCGATTTTGACGGAACCGCGGGCGTAGACGAGTCGCTTTGGTCGGCTGGTACAGTTCTCGACGGCTGGATCGGCTCTTCTACCGTCGGAGAGCCCTGGCCGGGCACGTATTTTTGCGGAGCTTCATGCTCGAGATACTCTCGGAGACCCGGATCAAGCTTCTTGACCGGGTCGTTATTATTCGAACCGCCCCAAAACCAACCCATTGTTGACAGCTAGACAGGAATTGTAAGGTTATCGAAGCTATCGTTGAGAACAGTACCGATTCAAAATCGCAAGAGCGGAGAGTTGAAGAACCGACGCTCGATTGCCGCAAATTTGACGCTAAGCCGCTTCGGGCCGGACTCCGCGTGTCGAATGTACACGCTCTCCTCCGTCCCTCACCAGGATAACAGCTCGCCCACGGCCAGTCTCCATCACTGATCTCACCTTTTCGCGTCGATTTGACGCGTCGCTGGGCGATGGCTTCCGGTATGTCATGCAACTCCGCACTAAGCCGCTGCCCGGTTAAGCCTAACAGTGTTTTCGACAGATCGAGTTGAGCGGCTGCAGATGCGGCAGCGCGGAGCAGGGTATGCCCCTCAGTTGGGATTTTGGATAGGGTTGGCAGTGATATCTGACACATTGATGATTACAGGACGCGGAAGATCAAGGAAGTCGACTTTGGTTTCTCCCTATTCGGTCCCCCGGCTGAAGCAAGCTCGCAACCCGCGTCGCAGCCCACCAACAGTTTTGAACCCGCACCAACGCCAGCACCACCGCGCCAGCCTCCTTCCCTCGATGAGCCAGCGCTTGTTGAGGAAGCGACTACAGAACCGACGGAACCACAACCTATCGCATCACCAACCGGAGACAATGCTTCGTCACGGGGACAGAGCGCAAATCAAGCCCCAGGCAATGCGCGCAACAACGTCTCTCCCTTTCCGTCCACCCTTGAAACGGCGGCAGATGAAGCACTTGATGCCGGGAGGAGTAGCAAAAGAAGGAGAATCGGTGGGTGCTACAGACTCATTCTCACGAGTGATTGCGCTGACGATGGTAGAAAACCCCACGGAGGACTCTATACCTGTCGACATCCAGCGCGAACTAGATAATGGAGTCTCTGAACATGCCGCGGAAGAGCCCACAGTACCTACGCCCGCCGAAGTAAAAGCAATACCTATTAGAACGAGCGCATCTTCCACTCAAGATCAGCAGCAGGACCAAGCTCCTTCTGCCGAGATCGCGACAGTTCCTGCAGATGGAGGAAACGAGGATCTCACGGGCGCTTTAGTCGTGCCTTCCGCGGCGGCAACTGAGTCAGCGCCTACTGCAGCAAACGGCGCAACCTCACCATCATCGGATACAGCGAAGAGCAAAGGGAAAGGACGAGGAAGGAAACCTCGATCGTCACTGGAGCAGAATGATGCCTCGAACCCAAGGCCCGCCGAGAAGGAAGATGTACAATCTACGATACCCTCAGAGCCTATGGAGATACCGCAAGAGCAAGATGCTTCCGCAGCAATTGAACCCCCGAAACCCCAAAGAGAAAGGCGAAGACGGAGTCGAACACCCGCGACGGTTCAAGCTTCCGAGATTACAGCTCCCACCGACGACACACCGGCCGAAGATAGAGACGCGAGGGCATCATCAAAGAATGACACCGCGAGAAAAGGCGTGCGAGGGCGGAAGAGGAAAACCCAAAAAGTCACGGAGAAAAGCGCCAGTCCAAGGCAAGGCTCGGAGGAGCCTGACGCAAACCAGGTGGAGAAGGTCACTGAGACCCAGGATGCTACTGCTGCTCCTGAACCTGTCGGTCTTTCCAAGGACCAACCAAATGGGGTGGACAAAGGGAAGAAGCGTGCTGGACGGCCGAAGAAAGTGGTCAGTCAGACCCTAGAGCCTGCAGAACAACCATCTCGTACGGATACAAGAAAGAAACAGCGTGAAGCAGAACCGGAGCGCGACGAAGAGCCGGAAGGGCAGCCAGAGTCGGGTAAATCTCGAGCTTCCAAGGGGAAGAGGCGACGCGAACAACCAGAGCCACTCGCAGAGCAACAAGAACAGTCACAGCCAGAAGGTGGTGCAACCCGAGCTGATAAGAAGAGAAAGAGAAAGGAGCGGGATCGTGAGCGCGAACGACCATCGGAGCAAGAACAGCCAGTGTCCGAAGCAGAGACATCCCGAACCGCGAAAAGAAGAAAGCAGCAAGAAGAAAAGGAACAGCAACGTGGCAGACGACAGCAGACGACTCCAGAACAGGAGCCGGAAAACCAAGAGGAAGCTCAAGTTGATCATGAACAGGCCAAAGCTGTTAAGGGCCGGAAAGGTCGGCGTCCAGAAAATCAGACCGAGGAACAACTTGCGGAAGAGCCCACTACAGCAGAACCGTCCCAGGCCCCGAAGCGCAAGCCACGGCAACCACGAGGTGAAACCGTACCGGTTACGGTTCATCGGCTTGTCAATGCTACTTCTCTTGGCGGCGAGCCCGCCCAAGACGAGTCTGCTAGCGAAGAGGATGCTGAAGCCCCCGAAGAGATGGCAACTAGACAGACGGACAAACTCCCTACCCGAGGCGGCGTCAACGCTGCGGATGTTCTCGCCCAGATCTGTCGCGAAACCTTGGAGAAGACCTTAACGACACTGAAGAACGGAATTGACAACGAGGCCAACGCTGCACGACGCCAGGAATGGACCATCCGCCGGAAAGCAGTTGAGGCCTTCGGGACTGAACTCGAGGGTCGCCTTTTCGAACTGAGCGAGATGCTCGATAGCAACTTCATGCTCGGCGTCAAGGTAAAGAAGGCCAAGCGCAACATGATGGACCTTCGATCTCGACTCGACCAAGTTCGGAGGGAGCGAGAAGCCATCGCGCTAAGAACAGATGCTGTGCGTCGGGAGCACATGATAGCAGAGGAATCTCGAATGGTTAGCTTCTCATATATCATGGTACGAAGGGGTTTGTTATCGCTAACGACAATGTAGGCACGCTCAACAATCAATCACTCCCTACACAACCTTGACCTCGCGCTCGAGCGCGGTCAGAATCGTACAATTGGCGAAGAAGAATCACTCACAGCTGGTCTGGAATTTCGTCTTCGCAACGCCGCGCAGAACGTCAGCTCGACGGCACCAGGGACTCATGGTGGCATCTTGAATCAAATCAAGAGGTTCAATGCGCAATTAGAAGCAACTGCACGGCAATTGGAGTGTTGATCACAATCGTCGGTATATCAGTACGCAGTACCTTGCCCTTCTAGCTAGCTCTCGGACTTGGATCAGTGTCTAACTTGGCATCTATGACAGGCTTCGAAGGGAAATTAACTTGGGTTGAGTCAAAGTATCCACTGTGCCCAGGCCAGGCCCGCCAAAAGACTAGGGATGCCGACGCCCGTGCATCATGGTTAGCAAATTCCTGCGCAGCTAAAGCTTCATCGACTAGATGCTCGAAAGAACATGCGGCGCCCGTGAGCAAGTACACCAGCTGACGTGTGAACCCGTGCGGCGCTGACCCTACACCCTCATCATCTTCGACCTCCAAATGAAGCCGCGCGCGACAGTTGCTTCCTTGGGCAAGTTCCACAATCCGACTCGCTGGGGCAAATCTCTAGACGGTCCAGGACATACACAGCACGGTGGTAGACAGTCACTCAAGTATATACTCGGGATGGCGAGGGTCTGTTTCAAGCATTACGCCTAGGAGACCTTGAACCCAAATGAAATTGGCTGAAAATTCCTTCAATGCCATGCGCGGCTACAAGGCGTGAGTCCCTTCCTCTCTTTCCTCTATATAATCTAGAAGCTTCTCTCAAGACTCTATTTCCCCTACCCCAACTATTCTTGAAGATAGTATTAACAAGACTTGCTAGGTGATATGCAAGTCAATGGATCCAGCTATGGGTATATATTGCTTTAGTTGTTCATGACACAGATCAAAATACTTAAGCATGATAATAATACTGAAAAATGAACTCCACAAGGAGTAATATAGAAGATGTTCAGCCTAAAGCATAATAGCAAGATATTAAAGCAATCACCACCACTAAGAATGGAGAAAAGGGTATCATTAGATAGTGGTAAAAAAATTAAAAAAACGAAAAAATGGACACTCCGGGAATCGAACCCGGGACCTCTTCAATGCAAATGAAGCATTATACCACTAAACCAAGCGCCCAGTATGCTTCGAATGTTTTTAAGCGCATTTTTAGTGAAGATTTTTGCGCAAAAATATTTTGAGGTGATTATTAGAGTCTATTTGAGCTATTTCCCATGATGCTTTTGAATATTAAACATAATGGCTAAAATTAGTGGCTTAGTAGATATAAGGTAATATAGTATGAAGAAATAAGGTCTAATTTAGAACCTAATGAATAACTATATGCTAGTTTATGTACGTGAGAAAGTAGAATGTTAGAACTTTGAGAGAGTTTCTCAGAGTTTTAAGCCATAAGAGATATGATGGATATGTAATCAGGTATAAAATCACTATATCAGGAGTAATATTCAGTGCAAGACTAAACCTTGCATTCCACAAGGTTGGGGGTTGAGCGTAGATAATTGCTGGCGAATCATGATTATATGTCCTCTGGGTGGATTGAGATCCCACTCCATGACAGGTAGAGCCTTGGAGGAAGAGGTGAGGTCTGATAGACAAGTCAAGTGGACTTTTGTTAAATTGTTCCTTCCTAACTGTAGCACCACTGGCAGTGTGCACCAGTTAGTTCCACCAGCTTGCTTCCTGCGAGTCAACCCTTGGGCACCACTCCTCACTGATCTTGACCTTCGAGGTCCTTGGTGGAAATCCTTTGTCTTGCATGGAAGGTTCTGGTAGGACACATGACTTCTTCTATGCATCTAGCCTATATCTAGCTAGATCTCTCCTAAATGGCGTTATCCATTATATACACATGCATGCATATTCATTCACCATGGCTAAGTTCTCTCCTGGTAGCAGACCTTCCAACAGCTCTAGCTTTATGGCACTACCAAAAGTCCAGGAGATATAATAACAATTCTCAACATGCTAGGTACCTCCTATGCTATGCATCAGGCCATGTGCCATATTATAGTTAATATCCTCGCCGATGTTCCTACGCAAGACCTTTGCGCCCATCCAATTGTTACGCCGACACCACTGAAGAGACGGAATTTCAGCTCCAGATCAGACTGACGCTTGTCACCGACATCTGATCGATCCTTGAGGTTTTAGAAACAGCACCAACAATAGCTGGGCTAAACATCACATGGGTTGACCAAGGCCAGCAATCGCTATTGCGAAGCGCGATAGAGGCTGGAGCTCTAGACAGATCTTACGTGAACCGTTTCCTCACAGCAACATGGCAGGATATATCGGAGGCTCGCCAGCGACGGAGAGAGCTGGAATACAAGATACCTCCTATCAAAATTATTGTCGGAAAACAGGCATTTTCGGACAAAGCTAAACCTGGATGCCACTGTTTGGGAATCCTCTGCCATTTCAGCGAGGAGCTTGTCCAGAACGAAATCTTCTTAGCGCTGAAACGGTAGGAAATGCTATTTGAAACCATGGTGGCATGGCAAGCCACTTTAAACTACAGTGTAGTAACACCAAGGAAGCAATCTGCATCCCCCAAGCAACTCAAGTGAGGATTCATATGACCCGCCTAGGTCTCAGTCCTCTTGAGTCTATTAGCTCTCTCAGATCTACGCTTAGCCTGGAATTAAGTCGCGGGATGGATAATATGATAAACCATGGAAGGTCTTCCTAAATATTTTCCCCCTAAAATACGCGCGCTTATGCACTAGCTTTTTTGGAAATATGGTTGACAAGAAGTATACTTAGTGAAGACATTTTCACTTACAGGTGAATTATTCTCATATTTAGAGTTAACATGCTTATAAAGCAGCTTCTTGCTTATACTAACAGAGAAATCATAACACTAATCCTGAATAGCAGGGTTAGAGTTATTATACTTGATAAGGGTAGAGAAAATACACTACACCAGGCCTTAAAGGCCTGGTCCCCTTTAAAATGCCCATCTACTGCGGCAATATTACTGTGTATATTCTAGGCCTGTCCTTAATACTTAGCCTGTGGGCAAACACAGGCCCACCTATATAGAGAGTCTACAAGATCTCCAAAGCCGCAGTATAACACAGGAACTTGACACACAGATAATCAAGGGAATCTTGTGCAAAGTGTTGAGGAAAGTTGGGATTTTATCCACGGATGTTATAGAGCGGATTGGCCAGTGCTTGAAACTTGCATTCTACCTAGAATCTTTACTCTCTGGGGTATAGATAACAACCCTGCCAGTATGACAATTAGTTTTCAATGCAGCTTCTGCCCTTGTCAAGCCGCCTTCGTTCGCCATCGAGATGCGCCCAAAGGCTCAAGGAAACAGATGACATCGCGCGACGATAGGAGACATTACAGCTATGATTTACAGCCAAGGCGTGCACTTGAGTATGTCTGCTCGCAATGCAATATATTCTGCAGTACAGCCTGTTGGCACCAATGATCCTGCTTCTAGTCTTGCTGAATTTACTAGAGTAAATCATGAACTAGGCATAGTGCACCAACATTACCTGTTAACAACTGCGCAAAGACAAAATTCGACATGACCTAGACAATGACTGGTTGCATAGCCCATTGAGAGGCGTTAGCCGTTCTTCCACCTAGTCTAAGATGGGGCAAAAACAAACAATCGAGATCAAAGAACCAAATCTTTCCTGCCTGAGGAACCAACCATGACGCCGGCGGCGCCGCCCAAGGCATCAATTCCAGCGCTAGTCCCAATTGAGTATATTGTCGCCTCGTCGCCTCAGGCGCCACAGACGGAGACTTTTCGATCATTCATCCGAGGAATGTTGGTCAGAACCTTGAAGCTGAGGAAACCCGGCCGTGCAATCAGAGCGCTCGGGGAATTGCCGGGTAGCGCTTCTTGATCCTGGTGGACCCGCGGGTATTGAATAATCGATTCTTGCTAAGCAATAATGAGGCGAGTCTGCGGGTTGGGTGCTCATGGAATGTTCGATCTATCGGTAAACCGGGATCCAAGATTTGAAGAGGTGTCGACTGCTGTAGTACATAAGGGACGTTTGCCGGCTGTAGACTGATTCTTGAAGTTCAATCAACCCTAAGACATTCTATCTACCTCTATCTACGGAGTACCTTCCCACTCCCACAATCTACCCATTTACCTACCTTCTCACCTCCTTCTCCCAAACATATAACAGACAACATCGCGAAATGTCCGAATCAACCCTCTTCACGCCCCTCAAGGTGGGCAACCTCCAACTCGCCCACCGCATCACCCTCCCACCCATGACGCGCTTCCGCGTCAACCCCGAAACCCACATCCCGCTCGACATGGTCACAGAGTACTACGCGCAACGCGCCAGCATCCCCGGCACGCTCCTCATCACCGAAGCAGTCCTCATCTCGCAACGCACAGGAGTCTACAAGAACGTCCCGGGCCTCTGGTCCCCCGAGCAGGTTGCGCAATGGCGTAAAGTCACCGACGCCGTGCATGCCAAGGGCTCGTATATCTATGCGCAGCTCTGGACGCTGGGCCGCGTTGCTGATATTGAGGCTACGCGCGAGGAGCTGGGCGACGAAGCTGGGGGGCAATTGATCTCCCCTAGCGATGTGCCCTTTTACGAGGGCGTCGTCCCCCGCGCCATGAGCGAAGATGAAATCCAAGCCGTGATCGCGGACTTTGCATCCGCGGCCAAGAACGCAATCGCCGCCGGCTTCGACGGCGTCGAGGTCCACGGCGCAAACGGCTACCTCGTCGACCAGTTCATCCAGGGCGCCGTGAACAAGCGCACCGACCGCTGGGGCGGGAGCGTCGAGAACCGCGCGCGCTTCCCGCTCGAGGTCCTCCGGGCCGTCGTCGACGCCATCGGCGCCGAGCGCACGGCGATCCGGTACTCGCCCTGGAGTACGTTCCAGGGAATGGCGCAGGACAGCGACGCGGAGCTGATTGAGCAGTTTGGGTTCCTTGCGCGGGAGACGGCGAAGCTTGGCCTTGCCTATGTGCATGTTGTCGAGGCGCGCATTGCGGGGAATACGGAGGCGGCTGAGCATCCCGATCGGAATCTGGAGTTCTTCTTCCGTGAGTATGGGCGTGCGGGTCCCATTATGGTTGCCGGCGGGTATGTTGGGGAGTCGGCGAGGGAGGCCGTCGATGTGCAGTATAAGGGGTATGATGTGCTCGTTGCGATTGGGAGGCCGTGGACTGCGAACCCGGATTTGCCGTTCAAGGTGAAGCAGGGCATTCCGTTGAGAAAGTATGAGCGCGAGCACTTTTATACTGTGCGCAGTTCGAAGGGGTACATTGACTATGAGTTCAGTGAGGAGTTCAAGGCGGCGGCTGCTGCTGCTTAGGTCTTGGTGTGTCATTTGTTTCGCATAGCGTGCGGTTGGTTTTTTTTTTTTTTTTTTTAGAATTTCGCATAGATGCTTAATAGATTTACTTCGTTGATATGATCCTGGGTTCGATGAAAACGAGTCGGTAGCACTGTAATTCGGGCAGCCGTTCATCCTTGAGCATGGATAGGCCTGGCTCTCAGGCTCTCATGCTCTCCCACAAGAAGGGTTCGGGACTCGGCATCAAACGTCAGACTTCTGAGAGATCTGAGATACCATTAGCCTATTCGGCTGTAAACCAAGCCGCCCACGCCACTGATGTTTCCATATTGCGTGAACCTGCTGCCATCACCTGCAACTCGGAAAGGATAAAGCAGCAACCGTGGGTTCTGATTCGTAAGCTCAAGACTTAGAAGAGCAAGGGTAGAATCACATCGTCTCTTGTCTGATCCTCGTTTTTTTTTTTAGAGCATCCATCCTCTAGATGTCAGGACGCTTTCCATTTGAAGATAATTCGAGCAGTCAAAGTAGAAGTGGCGTCGAGGCCACTAAAGTTTCCATGCTTTAGCAACGATAGAGGTACGCATTCGGATCCAATATGGAGGCCAGGGTGATCGGGTCGCTCCTTGTTCTCACGGAAGTTATAACCTTTTGGGAAGGTGCGACTGGTCAGGGGAGGTAGTGCCTTTCTTAATCGGGGTCCGAGGTGATTTGGCAAGTACGAGGGACGTTCCTTCCTTTTTCGATGGGGGTTATATTTGGCGGATGAGGAAGGCGCGATGCAGCAGCGCACCTACCTAATATGAAGCTTGAGACGCAGG